ATCACGTGCAGCAAAAACCGAACACAGAAGGCTTAAGACTGCTATCTTTAGCAAGGTATACTTGGAAGGTTTTGCCCTTGGTTGACATTTGGGAACCTGACTGTTCTCTATTCCCCAACTGATATGTGTCATTCACTGTGCCCAGACCCTGTATACAGATAACATGGTTTAAGCTGAAGATCTGCTTTCCTTCTGAGAGTCTGGAGTTTGGGTATGTGCTAGACAGAGCGTGCCCACATGACTAGCCCCCAGTAAAACCCTTGGATGCTGATGGACTTCTCTGGGCAGAATTATTGCACACATGTAGCCTTTTTGTGACTGGAAAAAAATAGCCCATAAAGTGTTTTTCTTCATGGTAGGAATAGAACATAAAGAAGTCTGTGCCTGAATTTCTCCAGACTCTGCCTGTATCTTTTACCCTAGCTGATTCTATTGTGCATCTTTTCACCATAATAAACCTTAGCTGTGAACACAACTATATGCCACGTCTTGTGAATGCTTCTACTGAATTACCAAATGTGTGCGCGGTTTTTTGAAACTTCTAAAATAGATCATAAATTCGAAACTGAAACAGACTTCAAAATTAATTGACTTATATTCAGCCATTTTGTACAGAAGATAATATGTTGGGTATGTGCTAGACAACATGTTAGCTATCTTGAGGTATATCTGCAAGTGTTACTGTTCTACAATATGAAAAAAATCATATAAATAGTAGAAAATCTCTTGGAGAAAACCATTCTTGAAACTGTTTTGCAGATTTTTTTGCTGCAAAAAAATCAATGCACGTTTTCATACATGAAGCCTATATTCTGTATGCTGTTATTTCTGATTTATCTTTATTTGATAAGCATAGGTTAAGTTACAAGTACATGCTGAGTTTGAAACAAAGTGACTTACAAAAGCAAGGAAGTTTTAGAAAAATAAATAACTTATTACAAATAAATGCATTGCCAGACAGGACTTGATCCCTGGTTTACTGATTTCCAATTCAGTGCTCATTAGTCATCATGACTAACTCTACGCAGAATCATAAAATTTAGAAAAATAGTTTTAAAGTGATATAAAACAGTTCAATATTCACTAGGTCCTTATTTCTGTATCTTTTAAACTACTTATATTCACAATAATTATCATTTTTAAAGGTTGTATTTGATATACCACCAAATGTTTAATAGAATGCAATCTTTCTAAGGAATACAGAAATAAAATATATTTAATAAATAAATAAGTGATTAAGCAAATATTATGAATAAAAGAGGCTTATTAAGGATAACTAAATGGTAAATAATAGAGAAGTTATGGAAATAAAAAGCAAATGGCTTCGCAAGCAGGAGGTACACATTCTCAGTCACGAGCAGCTGACATTATGTTAAGGCAGAATTCAGCTACTCCTGGAAGGGCAAGCAGCCAAACGCTCTCTGCAGGGATAAGACTGTCAATTGCTGTACAAACAAATCTTCAAAGATGAAATAAAAACCTCTTGGTGTCTATTAGAATATTGTTTAGAAACAAATCAAGTATTTAGCAATTGAACCTGAATAGCTTATCAGCAATGGCCTACTAGGAATCCGAATTAGCATAACTGAATGTAGGATGAGCTCAAAAGGAAGAAAGAGGGATGCACACTCTGAATTTTGCCCTTCATCTACTTCAGTCAAAGGAAGGCCTTGTGAATGACTGATGGTGACTTTCGAGAACTACCCACTGGCCATATCACAGACAAACCAAACTGAAAAGCAGCACCTTTACTGCCTCATAGTGCAGAAAAAAGTTGTCAGTATTATTATCAGGAAACTCCTTAGGAATATTGGCTTTGGCCATCCAGAATACTCGGATATGGCTTGACTCTAAAAAACAAATGACTCATGGGACAGAAACAGAGAAAGACATGTGAACATACTCTACAATCTCCTTGAGTATAGCGGGAGGACTAAGCTCGGAATCCGGCTGACTAGGAGTCAGGGTCTATAGCTTACTAGTTGGATGAGCTTAGGCAGGATACTGTAGTTATGTCCCTGAGGGTTAGTTCACTCATTTTCAAAAAAAGAATAATAATACCTCATAGGTATTGTTAATTGAAGCAATAAATATTGTATAATTTGTACAGTTCCTAGAATATAGCAAATGTTAATAAATGGTATCCAATATCATATCATTAGAGTATTTGTATTATCAAATTTAAAAGTTATCAGTTTTAAAAACTAAGATTTAAAACTATGTTTATACTGCTTTTCTTTCTATAAACTGTACTTGTTTTGCAAATGACAATAGCTATAATCTGAGTAATATGACTGAAATTTCACATCAGATTCATAAGATGATGATAAATTGTCTTCTGGCTTTAGTTATGTAGGAGAGCAATGTGGCTCTATGGTATTTATCATATATATAAAAGGAAACATAACCATATTTAGTTAGTGTGTCCATGTGTTTTATACCAAAGGTATAAAGGACGTAGTTTATTCCACAATTGCTACAGGAGAACTTAGCCTTATTCACTGGTTTCATCACCTTGTATAGAGCTTACCTGTTCAGCTGCTCATTGAACGCTATCAGTTCTATGGTCCATAGAAGCAGAGCCAGTTTAATGGGCATGTAAATCTATGTGCCCACTTGAAAGGGGTCCACACATTAATTTGTTGGTCCTACATAAAGTGAACATTTACCCTGCACATAGAATTAGGTCAATATATCTTTGTTGCCTTGACAATGTTACTGGTAACTTTGAGATAGAATAAATAACTTTTAATTCATTATTAATTTTGGTAGAAAGGCATATTAAAATTTTTATTCATAATAATAAAGGAAAAGGAAGCAATTTCATCAAAGCATCGTTGGAAAAAGATAATCAGAACTGAGTTACTTCCTCTTATTAGCCCTTCAAGCCCAATCACAATAAGTATCTAAAAACAGTTTTTATAAGGTCGTAACATGCATTTTTATACAACCAAAGTTTATAAGTTCTTATGCTCTATACATTTTTTAACCTCAATTTACTTTGAGGCTGTTCAAATTTTATATTTACCATAAAGACATTATCTATCTGTCTATCTATCTATCTATCTATCTATCTATCTATCTATTTTGGCTTCAGAAAAAATACCAAAGCTTGCCTGGTGTATGATTATGCATGCTGTAGAGCTTAATTGAAGCTCGTGTTGAATGCTCACATGAAGACCAAGATTGAAATAGTATAGAAAAAGAACAACTTGTTATTTTTCCTAAAATTTGTTATTAAAAGAACCGTTTGAATTGAGATACTACCTTTCTCTGTGAAACATATATGACTAGGTAGCTTGCTCTGTGATCCCACAGTGGTAAAATTAATCCCTTTATATCAGATTAATTTAGGGGAGTCATAAATACACTAATTTAAATAGTGGCATATACTATTCCATAATTTGTAATATTATCAAAACATTCCAAAATTAAATATGAGGGTCACATCATGTTAGAATATGATCACCTTTTTGTAATTAAAAAGCAACAAAATGCAAAATTCATACTAATGAGCAGGTAGTTTAACAGCCGACTCATATGAGCCATTTCTTTCAGTAAGAATTAGTAGATATTTCGATTGTGAAAAGATAATACCATTTGCATGCCAAACATACATATAAGACCTGCCTTCCATATAGAGATACTAGTTGTTGTTGGTGGTTGTTTTTTTTTTTTTTTTTGAGTTGGAGTCTCACTCTGTGCTAGGCTGGAGGGCAGCGACTTCCTGGGCTCAGATGTTCCTCCCACCTCAGCCTCCCAAGTAACTAGGACTACAAGCGTGTGCCACCACAATTGGCTAATTTTTGGATTTTTTTTTTTTTTTTTTGTAGAGACAAGGGTTCTCTATGCTGCTCAGGCTGTTTTTGAACTCCTGGGCTCAAGTGATTCTCCCGCCTTGGCCTCCCAGTGCTGGGATTACAGGCATGAGCAACTGCGACCAACCTGGAGATACCTATCAGGCAGTTTACACATACCACACTGAATTCCTCTTTCCTTCCAAATTTATGATATTTATAACATTGGCTGATGGTACTACTATCCTCTCTTTCCCCAAATTTATAGCCACAGAATATGCTAAGTCTTCTCTTTTCAAAGTGCCATGCATTCAGGTTGTGAACAGTTCATTTCTTTTTTTTTTACGGTGATGCAGTCTACAACATATTTCTACTACTGACCTCAGCAAATTACCTATTTCAGTCTCCTCACTTAAAAAGCAAGGAAATGAAACCCAAAGAAGTGAACTTACTAGCTATGGCTATTAACTAATAGAGAAACTTACTAATACAACTAGGACCAGAATCAAAATTTGGTGTTCTTCATGTCATTACTCCTTCCACTGTTTGCCTGTTTCTGTTGGTCATAACTTCCCAAGATCTCTCACATCTGTCTCCTCTGCTTCAGCTCTCTCTTCTTTAGATCTTCCCCTTATGGTTCTTGCCAACATTCACTCGATAATGTCCTAGCTGTTATCCTAATATCATCTCTGCAATCACGCGACACACTACTGCTGGCTTCATGCTTCTGTGTCATAGTTCTTACTACAAACAACGCACTACTACAAATTTGCACAGATATCCCATTCTTTACAAAATTGTCTCTAAGTGCCTTAGCTTGACATTCATGGCATACCAAATGTTCCAATATGCTAGAATGAATAAGTCTGGTCTTATTTATCAATAGCCTCATTGTCTAATAGCTTTCTTTAATTACTAGTGCAAAGAAAACTGTATTATATAAGCAAATTTTATTGTTTTATAGAAGTCTGTTTAGTTAAAACGCCAAATATTTACACGAGAACTTCTTGCTTTATATTGATGTCTAAATTATCATAAGATAAAGTCAGAATCAAATGTCAGTGACCTTTGCATTACTTGACTATCTACTTAAGCTCACATATGCATCTTTTATATTTCATGGTACTGCTGAACGGTAAAGACATACTAAATATTATTTAAATAAAAATAAAAGTTAAAAGTTATTTTTCAGTAATAGCTTACCAGGGTATATAATGTTGTCTGTGTTTCTTTGAGCCCGGCCTATCAGGACAGTGGTAAGATTCACGGTTGGCTTCTTAAGTGTATTTTGTTTCTTCAACAATGATTTTACTTGCTTCTGAGACTTGACAACATTTGCCAGACTATCAGATAATGATTGATCTATATACCGAGTTAAATTAGATAGAGCAGCTTGAGTTTTTATTTCAATCATTGGACCCACAAATTCTGTCAGATGTTTCTGAAGAAGCTGTATATCAGGCAGGGAACCTTTCATCCACTTAGGTATGGTAGCATTGAGTTCCAACATACTTGTAGAAGCATTATGGCACATTGTTAAAACTTCGTGGAGAGTTTTGTTAAGCAAAGAGAAGTTAATTGAAAGATGGATGGATTTTGCTTCCAGTGCCTTAAATCTAGAATTTAATACTTGCAGTTGAAGAGCCTGATCTCTCTCACTTGCAGCCACACTGCCTTTTTTAAGTGAAATATAATAAGGTATGAGTGTCTGGGTCACTTTAGACTCCATGCCTTGCAGTCGAGTTTCAACATTTTTGGAAATCTTAGTGGCTAAGAGTATTTTTTCTTCTAAATGACTCATATTCTGCTGGAATTTTGTCACTTGGGAAGTGGTTTCATTGAACATTTGATAAATCTTTTGATAGTTGAACTGACTTAGTTTCTTATCTTTAGGAGTATCTGCAAGGGCCTTGGCAACCTGCAGAACAACGTTATATCTCTGATTGTCATTGGCCAAAATCTGAATAGAATCGTTCAAACGTTGGAACTGAGGGATAAACGCCAAAATATCTTTCATATCTGAAGCACATTTGTGGACCTTGAGATTACCCTTAATAGTACTTAACGTCTTTTTTAGCACATAGTTATCTTGTATGAAATCAATGGCATTATTTATAATTGTCATTGTCTTATTTAGGCCATCTTCCATTTCTAAGGCATATTCGCTGACACGTCTTTCTAAGGCATCACCGCGACTCTGTACTTCATTTCTAAGTAAGCTGTGTCTTTTTGTAAGTTCTTTGATAAGAAAACTTAGACTATTGACAGCACTGGTCAGATTTTCTACCCTTTTCCTTACAACTACTGCTTCCTTTGGCCGTTCATATGTCATTGTCTGTCTAAGTGATGGTCCCTGCTCAAGCAAGGGTTGAAGAATCTCCATATCATAAGTCAGATCATTTAGCTGCTCGTTCATTTTATCCATCTTATTGTCCATTGGAAAGAGAACCTCAGCCAATGTTTGGTTTAATACAAGTACATTCTCTTCTGTGCCCTTAAGCTGAAATTTAAAATCATTTCTGCATTTGGATAACATATCTTCACATTCACTTCTGACAGATTCTTTCTCTATCTCCAAAGCAATAGTGAGATTGTTAATCTTGCTTTCCTGAATGTGCAAATTATCCAATAACTGCAGCATCATCAAACCCTGCTTCTTTATATTTTGATGTAGAGTAGACACGTACTCAGTAACATTATTGCTGACTGATTCAGCAGCTGGAACATTCTTCTGGTGTGATACTTGTTCAGATGATAAAAGCTGCTCATGTACTTCCTTCATTTTAGAAAGAGTCTTATTGAGAGATTCATAATGCAGAACGTTCCATGAATGTTCCTGTTCTAGAGCACCTTCTAAATGAGACTGCTTTGTTTCCAGTTCTTTAATAGGTTTCTCACATGTAAAAGTCATTTCCTGCCTTACATTCACAATGTGATTTCTTAGATCTGCTATATCTGTCAAAGTGGGCCTATTTTCTTGCATTAGAACAAACTTTTGCTGGACTGCTATTGAAACCACAGATTCATTAACTTTTTGAATTATTTGCCTGGTGTTTTCAAGGTCCTCTGACAGACTTGATACAGTCTTGAAAAGCTGTGCGACAGTCTCTTGCATGTCATTTTGAAAATTTTTAAATTGTTCTCTTACTATGCCCTTTACCAGGTCATTGACACTTTTAGATTTTAGACCTAGAGAAAGAAATAATAAGCAATAATAAACGATATGTGGCATACTTACATGGTCAGACATCAACTAAAAGGAGATTAAACACTAATAACATGAAATAATAAAGTACTATTTGACTGCATTCACTTATAAAATTTTTTAAATTACTATGATTCATAAGAGGTGATCATCTCCCTGAATGATAAGTCTGAGAGGATAAACCAATTGTAGAATATGATAGAATATACTAGAACCATAAAAGGATGGTTCTTTGGACAAAGTACATGAAGAAACTATTTCTGATGTCAGTAACAGACTCTTGTATATGCAATAATTCTAGGTCAAATCTTAGTCTTGTATGAAAATAAAAGGCTTGGGCTTTCTGCCTTAGTAAATAATACCTGGTATTAGCATGTGACTATGTTATTAGGTTTCTAGTAATTAGGTCTTAGAGTTTACGTTCTGTGCTTTAAAAAGCTAATAAATTGACTGTAGAGAAGAACCTTAATGAGATTGTCAAGTGAAAAAAAAGAAGTAATATTCATAAGATTTAACACTGGCTTATAATATCAATAAAATAAAAATAATGAGTGGTTTGGGGATTGTAAAAGTCAACCTCACGTGAAAACAGATATTCAAGATATACTTGATTATAATAATATGACATTAATTTTTAGGAAGAGAAGAGAAAGTTTGTTACTAATAAAACCCAGACTAGTATCTCCAATATTAGAAAGCAGGAACTAACCATAAGCTGAGGCTGTGGTAGAATCTAATAGTAACATTAAAAAAAAAGAAGAAAAAGGGAAAGAGTACTGAATTATTAAAATTTATTTAGAATAGAAAGTGACTATTTTAAAATGCAAAAATAATTTTGCATAAAAAGACAGACAACAAAAAATAAAATATATGCTTGAGATATATTTGTAGTATCTAGCTATGAAGCACACATAAATAGAAAAAATTTCCATTCAAATTGAAATATAGCCTGTGACTATGGTATAAAATAGAGGAAACAGAATGCAAGGCATTTTAAGCTGCAAAAATTGTACAATGTGATATTTCCAAGTGAGTTATGATTACTTTGTAGCCTACTCAAGAAAGAGCACTATAGGACAAAAATGAATAAAGATTCTACATGTCTCTATTTTGTAAGAAAGTTTTTAAAAGTAGTTAACAGTCATGAGGGTCTTACATAAAAAGTATTGTGTCAGAGCAATTATAAAAAATAAAATATTGTTTGAACATCTTGATAGTAATTAATTTGGTACAAAGACAAAACTATAAATGTGATGGCTTAGACAGATAAACATTTCCATGGAAATTCTATTTCCTAATCAATGTTGTTAAATGAAAAACAATAAATAAATAAGTAAATAAATATTTTCCTTTTTCTAAACCTAGAAGAAATTGAGAAAAGTTTAAAAGTCCAAGAGATATAAGTAAATACAAATTTGTATGTAATAAAAAAATAAATCAAAAAGTGTGAAGTATGGACTAGTAATCAATGACACACAGCACCTAAGTACTCAGGAAAGGCTACAATAATTACAAAAGATTAAATAGTCACAATTAAGAGAAATTATGCAGAAATAGTCCTAGATTTTGTATACAATAACATGGATAATCACACTAGAAAGGTTTTAAGGTATTTTTATGGCCTACTTTTGCTTAGTATTTGGCCAGTTACCTATTTATTCAACAAATATTCATTAAGTACATTCTATATGCTATACAGAAAGGGAAATTTGGAAAATTAGATATCTGGTCTTAGAAACTGAATATGTTAACTCTTCACAGAATGTAAGGTACTATTCAATAGTAATAGAAACCTTATTTTTTCTACAAGACCATTTAGTCGTTTCCCATTAGTAGCAATTGTCTTTAATTCTCATGACACCAAAACTTTATGAATTACAATAAAATATTTAAGGTTGGGGATTAGATCTTCTTTGAATTTATGACCTTATAATTTTCACTTTAAGATGCTTTTCAAGATTAAAAAGGTAAAATAAAACTTAAGTTGCTGAATTAATTAGTTTTGGACAATGACAAAAGTAGTTTCAGTATACAAAAAACTATATGACCTGAAAGACAGAATAAGGATGACAATAGTAAAAAACACTGTATATAGATAAAATTCTGTACAAAATCTTAATCAAATTAATTAAGAAAAAAACAAAGAAAATAAATATGAGTTACTTTAGCTGTTATGCTTTAAAAGCTTTACGGACAAATACATCAAAGAAGGGACAAAATCACAAGTGTCTGAAAAGATATCAAATAGATTATTAGCTTAAAAATTTGAGGATAAGGAACTTTTCAGATAACATTTCTATAATTTGTTACTAAAGAAGCATACGTGCAAGATTCTGATTTAGCAAAAATATTTCAAAGTGCTTTATGTTAATATCTGAGTGGGCATGTCATTTTAATTCTATCTAATCCTGTTTCATGTGATGGATATGCTTTTACGTCTTTAAAAAGATGATATTGTATTTGGTTACTTAACAAATATCAGAGACCTTGGCATGTTCCTTCTGTATTGTGAATGTATGGCCTTTTAGTAACATTCAGGTACCTCTTAAGGATTTGAGATATTTGATTTTCAATAGTTTCTGTTGATACTGGCAGATTAAGTAGTGTTTTTCACCTTGGATGTAGACTAAACAAGAGAGGAAGCAGTGGTTTTGCCAGGCAAGTATAGCACCTTGGGGCATGGGTTTAGCTTTTGTGTGCTGTAAGAATATTCATTAACTACAAGTCCTCTGGTTCTTATAATTAATGATTGTGCTGAGTACGCGATTAATTCCTCCTATTGAGGAGGGAATTTCATTATTGTTGCTGTTGCTGTGAGTGTGTGTTTTTTTCCTGTGTCAGTGCCAGAATTTTTGTTAGTAGGTTAGTGGGTCACAGAAATCAGTTAACAGGCTAATTCTCTCAGGTCATGAGAACCAAATCTTGCTAAACCAATTTCAATCAGATAGTTATTGACTTATTTCTTATGCTATCGCTTCAGGGGAAAAAAATATTTCTTTCTCATGCTTGGCATTGATAAGTTTGGGCCATACCAGACATATAGGACATGGTTTTTCTTTTAGTGACTGAATAGTAGCAATTATTTACATGACTTTCTAAAAATCATAATTGCTATTGAGCTACATAGGTGGTAGAAAATACGGCAAATCTTCACCTATTTATCTGTTTTACCTGAACCACAATAGAGAAAAAAATGGCTTGTGCATACTAAAAATGGGATTGTATAGGGAGGTTAAAAAAACAAGCAAAGTAAAAGGGACCAGTAATCCTGAAACTTGCAAAATACAATAAACCCAATGAATTGGGACACTGCTAGCCAGACAATTTGTCTAGAATATCCAACCCCTACCTGAGGCCCCTTTGCTTGGTTACCTCCTCCTGATCCTTCACTCATCAGTTGAGATGGTTTCTCTATCTAGAAGCCTTCCCTGGTCACTTAGATTGGATTTGTTGCAAGTCTCAAATGACTGCACTGTACTCTGTGCATAACACTATCATAGAAATTTCTATATATAAATCTCTGGCAGGCAGAATGAAGCACACCCTTTCATCCCATTCCCTAAGTCCCAGTACATGTGAATATGTTACCTAACATGGTAAAAAGACCTTGGCAGATATGATTCAAGTTAAGATGCTGAGATAGCAGATTTTTCTGGACTATCCATGTAAGCCCAATCTAATCACCTGAGTCCTTAAATGTGGAAGAGTAAGTCAAAGAATGGTTCAGGGAGATGCAGTGAGGACTCAACACACTGTTAGCAGCTTTGAAAATGGAGGAAGATGAGCCAAGAAATGCAGTGATCTCTAGAAGCTGGGAATGGGCTTCAGTTTGCAGATTTTAAGACAACAGGGACTTTGGTCCTATAACTGCAAGAAAATGAATTCTGCCAACTACTTGAATTAGCAAGAAATGGATTATCCTACACAGCCTCCCCAAAGAAACATAACTGGCTTTTAAGTTTGCTATTTTAAAAGCACAAAATTTGTCAGGTGTGGTGGATCACACATGTAATGCCAGCACTTTGAGACGTAGAGGCAAAAGGATTGCCTGAGCTCAGGAGTTCGAGACCAACCTGAACAACATGGTGAGACTTCGTCTCTACAACACTTCAAAAAATTAGCCACATGTGGTGGCACATGCCTGTGGTTCCAGCTACTTGGAAGGCTGAGGCAGAAGGATTGCCTGAGCCCAGCAGGTCAAGGCTGTGGTGGCCTTATGTGTGCACTCCAGCCTGGGACACAGAGTGAGACTCCAACTCAAAAAAAAAAAAAAAAATTCATGCAAAGCTTATTTCTGTAAGGAAATAAATCCTCACTCTTTAATAATAATAATAATTGGGATGCTTTAGAATGTATTTTATTGATTTATTACCATGACTTAAATAATATATGGGATAACAATGCATTTTGGATTTGTCCTCAGTATTTCCATCAATAGTATTGAGACAACCATGCATCTAACTGCCTTGATCATGGTCCCTTAACTTCATCTTTAATCTTGGACTTGAAACCACAATAGAAGTAGGTGAAGTATGATTTATTTCAACTACAAATAAATACAAGTTAGGCTATAAATAGGTACATAATGTCATCAATCAAATAGAAAATTCGGTCAAAGACTTGAGTACACAGCACAAAATATTAAGATAATTCAGACTATTTAAGAAGCTTAGTGAATTTAAAATATCTCACTCAAAAAATAAGTCTTAGTTTTTCATTCAATCTAAAGCAAAGATTCCAAAGTGACATGAAAAAAGAAAAATGAATCATCTGCTTTTTTGTGATAACAGAGTAGATAATTTATTTTATTTTTACCTTTAAGAAAAGATTGAAATTCTCTGCCTTTATCCTCACTGATTTTCTCTTCTAGAGAGGAGTAAGTGTTCCTAACATCATTCACAGTCAAAGAAATGTTGTCAATCTTCTTCTGTAAAAGAGTCAGTTTCATTGCCTGGGAGTTCATCTGGTCAGATAGCTTTTGCATCACTGCTACATGTAGAAGGAGATAAAATTGGAACCATTAAAATATATATATTTAAACCCACTCAAATTTCATAATAACTTTAAAGATAATTCAAATAAACCACCTTTGCACTAATGTATTTGAAAATATAGACTATATTCATGATGAAAATGGTAGTTTAAATGTGGAGACTATTTAAGTGCAGAAATTTATAAAAAGCACTAAAATGTCTTAGATTTATAAAATGTTTTAAACTTTGTCCAGAATTTTCAGTCATGAATTTTAAATTTCAAAGAGTTATTGCTAAACTCTGAATAGATAAAGAAACTTAGAATCAGAAAACTAATAACTTGTTTGAGGTTACAGAGCTAATGACTCATCTTGTTTCCAAATCCAATGTTCCAGCATTAATGTGCAGTTGTACAGATGTATGTAATTGTAGCTATATTCTGAGAATTTCATTGTTTACTGTGGAATTCCTTAATGCGAGATAAAGAGACTGAGAACTTAGCTTGAATCATTTTATATAACATTGGCACTTTTCATTCCTTTACACATGCATTTTGGTAATTCAGGAGTTTTATGGCATTCTATAAAGATACTGAATTTCAATTCTTAAAAAAATTACAGTACAATGTTTAAGGCATATTCACTAGCATTCTTATAGACAGCCCTTTAAGTCACATTTCTCAATTCGAGTGTCTTGTTTTATGCGACTAGATCTATGTCAAACAAAATGAATAGATGATTTTAGCAGTAACCAAACTTATGTTTCTAAGAGTTCAAATTAAGCCTAAAAGAAATGGCAAAGCATTTACGATGAGAGAGATGAGAAAATATGTGACACGTCAACTTTGTTTCAACACAAGGTTCTTGCTAGTTCCTAGTCCCAATTCTGTTCCTAGTCAATGATTAGCACCCCTTAGAAATTTCTTCTCCACCAATGGAAGAGAGCCTTCTTGGCTTCCTTAAAAATGATCACGCTGTTCCTTTCATGTCTAGAGACTTTGCTAATTGCACTGTTTGGAGAACAAAAGTTTGGTCTTATTTTGGAAACCTGTGATTTCCTTACGGACTTTGTATCGCATTTTTACTCTCCTTCTGTGTTTGCACACAGACCATCAATAATTATACATGGTTCTTTTGGCCTGGGAACCTACAATTTCTCCCAGCATTCAGTGCCAATAGAAAAGGACTGAGAGGTATGTTAATGTTAGTCATCAAATGTTTGGCAGCTAAGAGACTTCTTGTTTAGAAGTTGCAATAAATAGTGCTGACAATAATTGGGTTAGAGATGATAGTAATTACAGTCCATGACCTGGGTCACCACAGTCTTGCTGCTGCTGGTGCTGCTGTTGCTCAGCTGCCCCTCTGCCAATAGCTGCGTGACTTTCAGCCTGGCTGGTGTGTATCAGTTGCGGCGGTCCCTGGGCTGGACGGGAGCAGAAAGAGAAAAGAGAGAGTTAAACACTGGGACGACTTCGTTTTTTCCAGTCCTGAGCAGTAATGTGGCTGACATTCATTTTCCCGTGTATTGAAGCATGATGGGCCAGGATGATTGCAGAGGGCGCCGTTCCGCCCCCAACCATAGGGCGATGCGACTCCGCATGGGAGTGCGAAGTGCAGGACTCTAATTCTGCCTGGAAAAAAATCAAAATAAAATGATTCAGGCCTCCTTTAGGCGAAAATGGATGGTAGTTTAGGAGAGACTTGTAAACTGGCGGGTGTAAACTGCCTGCATAATTGAGGGGATTTTAAAATCCACTGTGTTAAAAGCTATAGCAGCCTTGTAAGTGGACCGCCACGAGGGCTGATTGTTTAACAAGGCAATTTCCAACCGGTGTTCACTTGGAAATAAGAGAGCTACAGGTTCTTTACTGAGAAAAGAAAAGAAGATTACTATTTAATTAACAGTGTCACTTAAATGCGTTGCTAACAGATTAAAAAAAATACATAGTGTAAAAATGGACTAAAAATAAAAGTAAACGATTACAGGCACATTTCAAGTGGATCAACTGAAAAAGTCAGTGAAATATCAGAAAAATAGAGTCTTATAAAATAAAACTACTTTGTTAAAGAATTGCTTCCCATTTCCCATGAATCAGGTAGTATTTTAAATGGCAATACCGTTTTTTCATTAAGGAACACAATTCAGAGGAGAGATTTATTAAACATATTTAGCACATCAAATAATGTATGTTTGTAATTTACCAACATCTGACGTACAGATGTATCTATTCAAGTCTGCAGATCAGACATGAGGAAACAAGTGTTTGGTGTCTGCCTACGCTTCTTCCCATGTGAAATTATGAACCAATGAAACTATAGTTCTGACACATGTTAACTATGCTCCCTAAAGCTTGTATGACTGTGACAATAATATTTAAGTTTCTCTACGCCACAAGCAGTGTAATATGTTTGGCATTAACTTGGGTTATTCTCTAATGTTAGGTTGAATTTTGCATTTCTTCAGGGCATTGACCTAAAAGAGTGCACTTCCCTTCATGTCCAAGATTTTTGTTTTGATGCTGTTCCCTTTTTTCTTCTCCTCTACAATATTATATAAAGTTATGTGTAATATGTTGATTTATTTGGTGGACAAATACAATCTGCAGCTCGGGGAAAAGTATAATTATTTGGGGGCTGGAGTAGGTGGGAAAAAGTGTTAATCATCTGCTGAGCCTTAGCAATGATTCTTATAGTCTAAATTCAAATCAATCCATACAAATGCATCTGTTAATTGCATACATTTTAATTGTGTTTTCTCCTTAATTGTGTAATAAAGCATTTTTTTTCCTGGTAGCTTAAATGTAACTCTATCCATGAGTGTAACTAGAAAGTAAAGCAAAACTTTTCAAACTAAAGTCACTGAATCGGCAGTATCAGCATCACCTGGGAACTTTTTGTGCTGCAATTTCTAGGGCCGCACCCCAGATCTACTAATTTAAGAAACTCTTAATAAACTTAAGAAACTCTGGAGTGAGGTAATAATCTGTGTCTTAATAAGCCCTCCAGGTTATTCTAATGCACAGTGGAGTTTGAAAATTGCTGAAATAATGTGTCAAGATAAATCCTTCTTAGCAACTTCCTGTCTTGCTACTTTCCTTGTTTATCTTAGCAACAGTGGAATGTTCTGGATACAAAATTAAAAGTAATAATGGCAGTAAGAAGAAGTGGGTTTAGGGATGAACCATGTTCTTTCCATTTACTTACTGCTTAACTTTTTGAACTAGATCATAGGAATAAAAAGAGCTGGCATATTTAAAGGCAGTACCTTAATTCCATAGGTGGCAGATATTTTGTTAGGAAGCAAAGCATAATTATAGTGAAAACAAATACTATGTTGTTTGGTGGTATAAAACAAGGTTATTCTTCAAATTTCCTTTTCTATCATTAACTTTTAACACATTTCTTAACATCTCTTTAAAACACTATTTTTTCCATCATGGATAGAAATTAAAAGTTCCTATACACTTTGAAACATAGCATCCATGTTTTTTCCATTCTCCCACCTGAGATTCTGATTCAGTAGATCTATTCTAGAGAATAGGGCATGTGTGTATTTTTAAAAATTCTACAGGTGATTTATATGTATGGACCTGGTTAGGAATACCAATTTAGAGCAAATTGCTAAGTTTTCTAATTCTAATAGACAAATTCATTGTGATAATGCAGAAAATACAGGATCTTTTCACATTAAATTTACAATTCAGAAACTACTCTTCATAGATTTTAAAACAACATGCCTGTTGTTAACAAAGGCATGTATTAAAGAAATAATTTATTAAATTCTAACAAATGAAAACCTTGAGTTTTGTTCATTCCATAAATAAGTGGGCCGTTAATAAAGAGTAAGTGAAAAGGAGTTGGGGTTGGAAGGTGCTTTTCTCAGCTTTCTGGTTCCCTTATTAGATATTGCCATCCTTCCCGTCGTTGCAACACAAGATCCTCAGAGCCACTGCTAAGCATGGAAACGTGCGAAGAGTGTTTGTGCTACCTTCACAGCAATCAAATCTAAAGCCCAATGGCAATTTTAGAATGTCTCAGGAAAAGAATTTGCTTTTCACTCTAAAGCTAGACAACTGTTCCTTACTTCCATCTAGTGACACTGCACATTCCTCAACTCCAAGATTGTATTTAGCCACTATACACCAATGTGGCCTACCAATTACTAAAATATTGAAATAAAGCCATATCTGTTGGCAAACATACGTTGATAAAGTGCAATGACTAATAAACTTAGTTATACAAATTATAATATTTACTTATTCCAAGTTAATTGTGGATACATGATAAAGGATGTGCTTACAGGGGTCCCCATCTCCGGGCCGCAAACCTGTAGGGGTCTGTGGCCTGTCTGGAATCAGGCGCACAGCAGGAGGTAAGGGACAGGTGAGTGGAGCTCTGCTTTCTGTCATGTCAGATCAGCAGCGGCATTAGATTCTCACAGAAGTGTGAACCCTACTGTGAACTGCGCGTGCAAGGGATCTAGGTTGTGTGCCCCTTAAGAGAATCTAATGCCTGATGCTACCCCACGGCCCCCATCCATGGAAAATTGTCTTCCACGAAACCGGTTGCTGACGTCAAAAAGATTGGGAGCCAATGTTGTAGGACACATGATGAACTGAATTCCCATTGTAACAACAACTGAGAACTATTTGTCAGAATTAGCATTTTATTGGACCCATGTCACTGCACAGACTTTGTGAAACATTTAGTGTTTTGGTAGAATGACGTTTATCACTACCTATGATTTATGTATTTGCTAAAAACTCCAAGTTGTTTGGCACTTATTTTAGTTTATGTGTTAGTATGAGCTAATCATTCTAAGTACATAATTATTTGATGCTTATAATTCAGAAGTTTATAATAAATTATTAAAGATACTAAAAAAGAGATAAAAGTTTAATTAAATTTTTAAAGCAGTTCTTTCAGATATCATGAACATGAATTTTGTGACTCTGAGGGCAAAATGTGTAAATTTTACCAACTATGAACTTAGTTCTGGAATAGCTAATGACATTAGGTAAAAATCAGTTAATCTAGAACATCTTTTAATATCTACAACATCAAAATGATATCAAATTAATATCAAAAATAAATTCAATATAAAGCAGGTTATGTTTCTGGAATAAAAATCAACTTGATTTTTCTATATTAATAGATTTTTACTTGATTTGTAAGTGTTTAATTTAAATAATGCTTCAAATTTGTATTTTATAAAAATTGAAATAAAATTGAACAGTATTAATAAAGTGCCAATAAAATAAATATTTAGGAAAAATCAGAATTTTAAATATCATTTATTATATATTTATTATATATTTGAAATAATGAAGCATTTTAGAAAAAAATTTATCACAGAAGTTACCTAATATAATAATTTTGATATAGGAATATAACTGTGATTTAGTTTTTTTTAAAGTTTTTTAATTTTAAAATTGTGGGGTACAATTCAGGGTTAGCTATACAAATATTCATTGTGCAGGTACCCTTGTGGATGAGGTGTGCCCCCCCTTCCCCAGGCAGATATCCACTACTGTCAATCTCACCTCCCCATCCCTCCTGCCCCCTGCAGTTTCCCACGACTGTCAATCCTTTTCTTATAGTATTACGGTGTTCAAAGTCCACTTAAGAGTGAGGATATGTGATACTCAGTTTTTTGTTTCTGTGAAAGATCACTCAATATTATAGACTCTAATTCCATCCAGGTTGCTGTGACGTTCATGATTTTGTTCTTCTTTACGGCTGCGTAATATTCCATTATGTATATGTACCACATTTTAAAAAATCCCATTCTCTTTTGATGGGCAGCACTGTTGGTTCCATGTTCTTACTATTGTGAACAATGCTGTGATAAATATACATATGCAGGTATCTTTTTATAGAGTGATTTGAGTTCTTCCGAGTATATTCCCAGTAGGGGGATTGTGGGGTCATATGGAAGGTAGATTTTTAGAACTTTTAGGAATCACCACACTGTTTTCCACAGAGGCTGTACTAGTTTACACTCCCACCAACAGTGTAGAAGTATTCCCTTTACACCAAATTCTCCCCAGCATCTGTTATTTTTTGAGTTATTGATGATGGCCGTTCTGACTGGAGTTAGGTGGTATTTCAGTGTAGTTTTAATTTCCATCTCCTTGATGACTAGTGAGGCTGAACATTTTTTCATGTATCTGTTGATCGCTCATATGTCTTCTTTTGAGAACTGTCTATTCATATCTTTTGCCCACTTTGTAATGGGGCTGTTTGTTTTTTTTTCTTTTCAGCACATTTGAGTTACTTGCAGATTCTAGATTTTAGGCCTTTGTTAGACATGGAGTTGGCAAATATTTTTTTCCCAGTCTGTGGGCTGTCTCCCTGCTCTCTTGATGATTTTTTTGGCTTTGCAGAAGCTTGTCATTTTGATGAGGTCCCACTTGTCTATCT